TTTTTGTAGTTTAGATGGACAGAATGCCTTTATTTTATTTATTTATTTTTATTTGGTGCTGAGGATGGAACCCAGTGCCTCACGCATGCTAGGCAAGCACTCTGCCACTGAGCTACAGCCCCAGCCCCAGAATTAGAGCAGTTTAAAATTCTGTTATGAAAATAAGAACATACAGCCTAAAAGTTACATGGCCAGATGACCTTCCTCCACCTCTGTAGAGATTGGCAAGGGAAGTACATGTAGACAGTATTAAATGTGACTGCGTGACCTCCAGGTGGCAGTAAAAAAGAATATTAAGGATGGATTTTACTATACCATAGAGCATGTCTGCAATAATTTTAGCCTAGAAAGAAATTATGACTTGCCCAAACCAGGAGAAAACTCAGAACTGTCCCAAGACAAAATTACTACAGATTTAGTTACAGATCTAATTTGCATTTATTAGTGATTCATGAATCATGGCATCCTCTTTTCTAGAAAATATCATGAAAGCTCCCAGTGTGCATTAGGAGAACAGTATGTTTTGTAAGTCAGAAACAAGGAAACATAACAAGAGAAGAAATACTGATTGATTAATATTAAATTCCTTTGGCTTACTTTTTTATAAGGTTAAAGCAGAAGGACTTCCTTCTTACATATGTTGACCTAAGTAGATGGGGTTTCCTGTTTTCAAGAAAAACTGGTCTGTTTTGGCAATGTATCTTCCTCCTTAAAGTCTCAGTTTGATCATGCAGCATTTAACATGACTGACTCCATTTTGGTTTGCTGTGGGCTCTTGGGACTAGTGCAGGAGCTGAGTCAAAAGAATAGGTCACATAATTTTTGTTTAACATACCTGAGCAACAGTGGAAACAGAAACATAGGAAAAATGCTCGTGAAATTTTGCTTTTACTACATGAGATTCATTATAAAATATTGGTCTCCATGTCAAGATTAGTCACACAGACACTCACACATTCAGTTTAAACAACTGTCCTTTAAGTTACTATTTTAGGTATATGAAGTTTGCAGAATTACATTCACCTAGTTTGTCTGAATTAATTTTTATTTGCAGGCAGTAGTGATTAACTTTCTCTGACAAACAAAATGTTAACCTGTGGAAAATAAGACAAAGTTCATAATGGATATGGCTGTTGATTAACCTACAAAATTTGATGAGCTTTTCAAATATCGTAGCTGATTTTCTCATCTTAAAAATGGCATGAGGTAGGGGGATAGAGATGAAAATATTCCAAAGCCCAGGACTCCTTATTTAGATCAAAAATACTAGAAACTGTTTTTCTCTGGCTAGGAATGAAAAAAAATAAAGGCCAAAGTATTTCAAGGTACTGTATTTTACTCTCATAGACTCAAGTTTATTAGAATTCCACTTTATGGTTCATATTAGTCAATTCAGTTTCCTTAGTCTGTGAAACATTCATGGGCTATGAGAAATGCAAAAATGAACTAAATATCTCTGCCATCTAGAAACTTAAATTTTTGTAGGACACAAAAGTAAATCATATTGGCAACAGATGCATATACAAATGTGAACAAAATGCTCTGGGAATTTGGAAGAATAAAAATTTTGTGGATTGGACAAGTCAGTTATAAAACTGTACAAGAAAGGCAAAAGAAAAGCTTCTCAAAGGAGATGATAATAAGATAGACTTGAAATAATGGATAATATGCTTAAAGATAAATGAAACTCACAGGATTCAAACTGAAGAAATCAATCCTGTGAAACAAACACAAGCAAAGACAGAAGTAGAACATGATCAACCTGCAGTGACTAGCTGGGAGAACAGCTCAGGGGTATGAGGGAGGGTACGTAAGTGTTCATGCACCTGAAAAGCCAAGTTGGTTCAGAACTTAAGAGCATGGAGTTTGAATTCTCTTACATTGACACTGGAGTGCTAATGAAGATTTTAATGTGGAAATAGTAGCAGTGTAAATGACCAGGAGAAGGACAATGAAATGTAGGAAGGTAGGAAGTTCTTTCTATGATGGTGGGTTTCCAATTTGCTGGCATTTACTCAGTTCATATGTGTCCAGGGCTCCAATAACCAGGAAATCATTCTTTCTTGTTAGCCTTCTTAATAAACAGATAATTGAGTTCATTTTAAATTATATCATATATAACAAATAATGTTGCATTCTTATAGTATGCTTAATTTTACACACACACACACACACACACACACACACACACATACACACACACACACAAATTTGGTTCTCTTTTATATTCTGTCCTTCCTGTATGTGTTATTTCCATTAACCCAATTATAACAAGAAAAAAAAAGTTAGCAGATACAGGCTTGAATGATGTTTCTGAAGTTAATTTAGCAGCATCCCTGGTCTCCATTCATCTGATGCCCATTGGTTCTCTCTTCAGTGCTATTTGTGATGGACAGAAATGTCTCTGGGCATTGCCAGTGCCTTCCAGAGGACAAAATCACCCTGACTGAAAAAATACTACATTTATATAGAATATTTTCACACAATAGACAAAAAATATCTTTTTCATATTTGTACATACATCTAATGTCAACATGATTTAATTTTTTCTCCTACAAAATTGTGTCTAGATGGCAGAGACTGTATTTGGTTCATTTGTATGTTTCTCATAGCCCATGCA